CGAGATTTGCAGGGTCCACCCTCATCAGTAGGAAAATGATATCAATATATACATATATATATATATAGTGGGGGGGGGATGGGCTGATGATATACGCTAGGAAAGTGTGATTGCTAGTATTTGTATAGTAATAGGAACAATTAGTAACGTCTTGATAGATTAATATACACACATATGCTCAAATATAAATCATCCTTTTAACATCGTGGGATACGGTCCTCTGGGCTAAATGGGTGCGGGATTACTGTAATGTCTTCTTATCTTTATTTATCTAGCTTGTACTTTGAGTTTGTTGTTCAACTATTATTGGTATTATGGGCTAGTTACTATGGGCCCTAATAGAAAGTCCAATGATGATCGTCCAAAGGGTTATCAAGATCGAACACTCTCATTTTATCGACATTAGCGGTCTCCATTTTCGACGAGAAACCGGAGCTTTTTAATCGATTACCCCATCAATCCCACGCGGCGAAAGGAATTGTACAAAGTTAAAGGAATAAAGCAGCCACAACCGATGAGGAAATGCCTTTCAAAAATGAAAAGGCCCTTTCGGATAAACTAAACCATGGTTTCTCGGACGCAGGGTATTAGAATATTTGCACCGTTGCCCGAAAAGTTGTGTACAGATATTTTGGAGCTACGCGACTACTCATTAATTGCACATGCAAGTATTTCACACAATCCAATCCTTCGAGCCGCACCAAGATTCCCATGTAGATTTCTAGGTGAGAAAGTAAAGATGATGACTTAAACTTAGGCCTAAAACGATAGGCTTCCGGCAATGGGGATCTTTTCCCTATTTCTTCTTCAAAACTTTAAGTGATCAATCATTTCCGTTTTAAGGTATCGGATATCACTTGCATATCTAGATATTATTAACTTTATCCTCCGTTGCTATGGTAAATCATGTTTCGGTGCGAAACGTCCTATTTCTCTCATACACTTATAAGTGCCGCTGCAGTTGAGCTGCCGAAAGGGCAAAAAGAATAAGTTCACGATGGCAAGTCCCTCACACAACAAAAAGAAGGCCGCGTTTGCGAAATACCTCATTGAAAAAGAAGAGGATACCATAGTCTGCGCCTTCGGAATTGACTACTTTGCCGGGGCGCGGTGCGGTTCTGGGTTTGGTGGTCTTTTTACCGGCTGGCTGTCTTTCCATCAATTTAGAAAAATCAAAAACGATCACGTGGAGGCCAACCTTGCCATTGGGCTAAAACTTGGCGAGCGAAACCCGAACTTCTCCCACTGGACACTTCTGCGCGGTATGTCTTCGCAGCCGATGATGACGTCGGGGTGCCTCGCGCTCATGGCGACGACGCTTTTTAAAGGGATGAAATGTTATCTCGCCAACCGTCGATGTCGGGAGTTTGCCGTGGATGATGCGGCCTACAACAGGTTGTGGGAGTCTAGTATGCAAAATCAGGACTCGTATGAGGCCTTTGTGAAACTTTTCGATCCGACCGTCGAGGAGGGGATCAATAATTCCTCCAAAGCGCTTGAGGGACCTACCAAGAGCCCCGGCACCTCTTCTTCACCTTCTTCCCTTTCCGGAAACCCAACGCGGACGGGAACGGCGGCTTCGAATTCGTCGAAGCCGAACGTGGTGAATTATTACACACAAATGGAAAAGCTATACAAAACCCGTAAGGAACCGAGCGCTGTGAAGGAGAGACGTCTGCCCACCTTTATGGATGGCGTGGCTGTTGGGCTTATGGGATCTGTTATGGACTGCTATTTGCCGCAGAAATCGATCCAATATTACTACGGTATGCGATTTGGGATGAGCTGACGATATCTTTTTCTTTCTCCTCCTCTTGAGAGAAAAGCACAAGTTCCGAAAGGTATAAAAGCTGGATACTGCTACCTTTTGTATTTTACAATATTCGAACTACATTACATTTGTTAATCTTCTCTTACCATCTATCTTTCCCCCACCTCGATCCTATACACACAAAAATGCATATTCGTACTCGTCAGAAAGTCTTTAAGAGGTGAAAATCTGCTTGTATTTATGTCTGTATATGCACCTTGGAGTTTTTTATGTGGGCTATGATAACTGAAAAACTTGAGGTGGTGCTCAACAGAAAACTTTGAAAATGAAGAAGTCAAATTTCAGCTTCCGGAATAACTGAATGCGGCCTCCTCGCTTATCTCACCAGTCAAGTCCAAACTTTCTTCACCAAGTACACAGGAGTAGATAAAATGTATAATATTCATGTCGCACATGCACATTAACGATTTAAAGATAATAAAACCTAGCAAAACAGAAATACCTAATGAAATATCTACACAAGGCGTTCCAGACGGCCAACAACACCTTTCTATGGTCCAAATTTTTTTCATCAAACAAACCTGAGGGGTGTCCCTGTTGCCACATCCAAGAAATATGAATGTCACCGCTGAAGAAGCGATAGCTCCCTTTTCCCAAGTCTTGGTAGCCACCCCAAATTCTAAGAAGGATAACCAAAGGACATTCTTTTCGAAATCACCATACAATTAGACTCCCTCTTCCTAACCCAACTCTACTGCTCGAAGAACGCGGTGCGTAGAAGCCAAACGGGGCCGCGCCGGAGGGTCCCTTTCCTGCCCTACCAATCTACTCAAAGTCTCCAATCCGCACCCCACCACTGAAGATGGCGGATAGTTTAAAAAGTCTTGGAGGAAGCCCTGACTCCCGCCTGTCGTCCTTTACCGATCTTCCAGAGTCACACAGTCGCCAGATCACCTCCCTTCCCGTCTTCAAAAATGCCGGAGAAAGTGAACGAATATTCGGTAAAAAGAAGGGCAATGCGGGAGGCAAGGTGGGGGCGTTCAAGCCATCGTCAAGGATGGGGCCTACTTTATCCGAGGAAGCCAAAGACTTGAGGCGGTTGTTCCGAGAGCGGTTCCAGATTGAAAATAACCAGCAAGATGCGTTTCGCAGGATTCAAGCGGCGGAGGTTTCGGATTATCTTCGATTGGCGCGCGAAGCACGTGTTGGTTGCGCCGCCAAGTACAACGCACAGAATAGCCTAGCCCAACTTGATAAAATGGAAAGACAGATCATGTTGGACTCACTGGCAGCGCATGAATGTCATCTTAAAACGGAATTACTCAATGATATTATCGATACGCGTAATAAATTGAACGTGATATGTAAATTAGACGATAATTTGTTTAAAAATGAACGGGAAATTTTTACGATGGACTACTCAGCTTTATGCTTTGAAAGTTCACTAGTTGGCATGCCAAATACAGAATCGGATAGCAACTTGGCATCTAATTATGATGCTGTGGTGGCTGAAGGAATAAACGCAGAAATGCGATGGCAGCTTGAGGTACAGCGCTGGGAGTGTACAAAAAAAAAGCCTGAATTTTTTTGATGATGCTTTCTTTCCGACTTCATTCAAATAACGCTTACATATATGACAATATGTATATGAATCATTGCGCCCTTCCCTTTTCAAATGACGCTTTTTCATGTTTGTTATGCATAAACGTCTTTCTACAAAGGAAGCGGCAAATGTTGAGATGAAGATATACCGTGAGATCTGATCCATGCGGAGAGGGTACGAAATACTTTAGCATTGGTTTCACCTTTTTCAAGTCAAAGTCAGCAATAGTACGTCTTTCCCTGTACCCAATCCCAACCCCATTGATACAATTATGCATCTATAGTCGAGCTATAAATAAGTTCCTGATAAATCAGTCCGACTTTCTTTTTTTGAAGCAAATATAAGTTACTTTCTTCTCCTTATCACCATCCATAAATTCCAGATAATATCTGCAAGACCTGTAAATTGTTTCAATATATCTGTTTATCTATATTTATATAGAGAGAGAGATAAATAGATAGATCGATAGATACGCTTCCGTCATATGAACCCTTTATGCAGCATTTTCCTTTACAAAACAAAAAACTGCAGCGGCTTACACTTCCCTATGCCAAAGTGGGCATCTGCGAGATGATGAACGCTTCCTCGCGATACTTCATGGACTCCTTTAACGTTTACAACACCAAAAACAAAAAGGCCTATACTCTTAATCATCCAATCTGCAGAAACGACGGGTATCTTTCCGAGCAGGCGTCTTCAATAATGGGTGAAATGATAGGGGGTGGCCTGATGGATAGCTATACAGGGGCGACGGCGCCGCGCTTTGTCGCGCATTACCTCGCCAAGGCGTTGAGCATGCACACGATAGTTCCGTCTGAGCTCGCGGCGCTTCGAAAAGAGCGTCCGGGCGATCTTTTAGTGGACCTAATGCTAACTTCCATGCATCGACATCGGACGTTTCAACACAACGCCATTTCCTCGAGCGGGGCAGCCTTGTCGTCCGAGGCCTCACGAGCGGTGAGCACCGACGCCGCTCGGAGGTTACGATCGGTAATGACGGACTGGGATTCCCAGCAATACGCCATTTGCGCCGACGCCGCATTTTTTCGGTGCTGTCATCTGCTCCAAAAAATCGAATCCCTCAGGGAAAACGCGGGTGGAATTGAGCATCTGGGCAATCTTGAGGACAACCTGGATCAACTTCTAACGCAGGTATCGAGAAATGAAGCCGAGTTGGTGAGGTTTTTGGTAAATGATATGAAAGAATGCGATGACGGGCGAACTCCCAGGCTCGCGGAGGTCCTTGAGAGTGGCTGTAGCGGGGTGTGGTTTACAGCCACTGTGGCGCCCTTTGAGCTCGAAACACAGCGGGAATGCCAAAAGGAGAAAAAGATAAGCGAATCCCGCATGGCGCCACCTCCCGAAAAATACGCACCAATCTCAAATAATGGGTTGCCAAGGCATGCAAGCGAAAAAAGTGGTCTACCCAACCGCATGGGGGAACAGAAGCCGTACTGTTTAGATTTGATGGTGTCGAACGTTGGAAACTCGAGGGCATTTGGGATTCTACGCAGTCGTCTTTCTAAAACTTCTCGAAGTTTCCTCGACAGCTCTCGTGAGCACATCGTTCCGCTTAGTATCGATCACAGGCCCTTCCAAACTGAAGAACGTCGTCGTATCACCAGTGCTGGTGGAAAGGTATCTACAAAAGATGGCTGCGTGATCGACGACAATCCTTTTTTCACCGTCTCCCGTAGCTTTGGGCATTGGTCAATGAAGAACAACCCGAATCGATCGCCGGTTCGGCAAAAGATTATTCCCCTGCCCTCCAGCGCGAGCTGGGAGATGTTGCCAGGGGATATTCTGGTCTTGAGCAATCACGCCTTGTACGAGACACGCCATGAGGAGGACACCGACATGGACGAGCTGGCAAAGCTCGCGGGCCGGGCGGTGGATCGCGGCCTCCCCCCAGAAGAGGTCGCCGCGACGCTGTGCGATTTCGCCCTCCGCTTCGGGGCTGAACATTCCGTGCAGGTAATGGTGATGGTCGCCACGAACCTCGCGCGGGGTCCGGAAGAGAGGTTGGACGAGGCCGCGAAGGGGCCTTTTTTGCCTTTGTTCCATGAGTATATTCGGCCGGGGCCATTCTATGCCGAAGCCTGTCGGAGGATTCCGGAGTATTGTCAGGCCCTTCGACGTGACTGTAGGCGCTGCGGCATCAAGCTGCCGGAGCTACTGAAGTTGCGCTGGGAACGTGTTAAAGACATCTTGCACCAACGACATGCCCTTCCCCTGCACATCTATTATGGGAAGGAGTGTGGAGGCTTACAACAGATCATGGATGAGGAGGCCGATTTGTTTGCCGATTTGATAAAAAATGAATCATCGCTATATGAGGATGACATCTTCCTGAGACTAGAGAAAGATTTAATGGCTGAGGATAAAATGGTGCAGGCGAAGAACTCAATGAATCCATGAGGTTATCCTTTCCCCGTTTTTTCACTCTTTTGCAAATGCATGTAGAATAGTGGAAATGGATTTAACGATTATATATAACATTGATGCAAGAATTTTTCTCTACTTCAAAAAAAGTTAACCAAAAACACACTAAGTAGTGGAGAAAGATGATGAATGTTCCTGAGCACTTTTTTTTTGATAAAACTGCATATTTTTTTTTGCTCTTTTTTTTATCGGTATTTAATATTCTTTGGGTGCAAATTCTAAGTCTTCGGTTGATGATAATGTGGAAGGCATCAGCTTGATAAAGCTGATCAAAGGAATAAACTCGACTGGAGTATTTTTCCTTTTCAAATAAACATTCCTTAGACTCTTTACCAGATCGATTTATTTGATCGATACCATCATTTTCTGTAAGCCACAGCCCTTGAAAGTTATCTAAACTTGCATGCGAACTCTATATTTTGGTGCCTAACCCATCGAATCTTATATCCATAGCATACTTTTTTTTGTCTTTCTTCCCCTTTTCTTTACCATATTCAAACAAATTCTGATTCAAATCTAAATAACGGCAACAGCGAAAAAGTTCAAGCGACATTAGTGGATAGTACAATAAACATTTATTATAAGTATTGTACTCCTTTTCATATAGCATGTTAGGGTTTTCAAATCCTCCAGCAACAATTGAGGGGGGTGGCACTAATCTCTCAGAATATCGTGCCCTTCTTCAAGTCCTAGTATATGCTAGTCAGAAGAGTCATGAGGCTGCTGCGGTGATTCACGACGCTCTTGTGGGTGGAGTTGTGGCTACCTTTTTTGATCAGCAACAAAGGTTCCAAAACGGTGTTTTACTTCCATCATCCAAGTGTATAGCAACGATGGCTCCCCTTATCTCTGAAGGGTTTTATTCACCTTCGCTCTCCTACACATTGGATAACCCATTTTCCACACGATATCAGCCTCTTTCGGAAAGCCACGGTCGTGACTTCTTTACGTTGGTAATACTCTTATTCCCGGATTGTTTCATGGATGGACCGTTCATAGATACACATTCCCGTACGAACTCGTTATCGACCTCTATTCCCATGATCCCGCAAATGTTTACGCACAGCAACATCCTGAGTGCCTCTCCGAGTGTCCATAGGGAAAACACCCCACCCGCTGGAACCCGGGACGGAGTCGGGAATAAAATCTCCCCGGTGAGTGCCCATCGCGAACCCCCAACCATCGTTGTCCCATCCCTGAGCGCCACCCACGGCAACATCCATATTTTGGGATCGAGTGGGACTTTTCCACACGCCGAGGTCGATGTGATGCAGCTCCATCGTCACCGCTTACAAGTCTCGAAGCAGTACCTCTCCGTGATCAATGACACCCTGCACGACGTTCAGGTTCGGCAGCTAAAAAAGGAAAAGGCCGCAGGCTCGGCCTCCGCCAAACCCACCGGTGGCGAGGTGGTGAATATTCGCGTGGTTCAGACGTTTATGGAGAAGCTGAAGATGATGCTGCTGTGCTGCATGTGCGCCGCGGAGATGGCCTATCAGGACGCGAGGGCCGACCATGGCCTCGGGGGCCATAGCGGGGACGGCCCAGTCGGCGGCGGTGGGCCGGTCCGACTCTCCCCGATGCTCCAACTGGAGGCGCTGACGACGCACTGCGACGTGTTTCAGCACCTGCGTTGGGCCGATCCGGTGGAGTCATGGTGCTGGGGCGAGAGCGGAAAAGAAATGGAGGAGTGGTATGATCGGGCGCTGGTGCACATTAATGGCATCTTTGTGGCGCATAGGCAATGCGATCTTCAAACTTTCTTATTCACTCTTAAAGAAGAAGTTCTACGGAAGCAAGGGCAGGTAACCGCACACGCACCGGAGATCCTGATGTATCGCGCTACGGATGGTCATAGAGGAGTTACTCTCGAACTGTGCCCATCCAAGGTCCAATTCAAACCAAAACTGCCCTCGTTGCCGATACAAAGCGGTGAGGCCCACGTGCTGCTGTCCACACCCAAGCCGTGTATGCATCCAATTTCAGGGAATTCGTATGTTGAGCTTCTGCTCGATGCAGCCTCATCCCCCATTATCACGGCACTGAATCGTTGGAAACAAAAAAGATTGACTGATGCTCAACTTCGTGAGGAAACTAATTTGTTTTCTTCGACAACCTGGAACCATATTAACGAACAACAACAGCATATGCTTCAAAGAAATGTACTTAGCAATGGCTTTATTGGTAAGATTCTTGAGAAGAATCCTATTCTGCTAGCCCGAATTGTAGTATGGGCTCGAAAAAACGTTGGTAACGAATCGGATATCAAACAAGAATCCTTAAATGTTGGTTCCAAGTGTCACAATCTTCCCTTTGTACAGGAAAACAAAGATGAGCCTCTAGTTGACCTAAGTTCTGAAATAACTAATGAGGTGCTTTCCAGTTCCACTTTCTCTGTCTCAACAGCACACTTCATACGAGAATTAGTGGCGCGCCATGCACTGGACAAGAAAATTTTCATGGCATGGGTACAACGACAGTGTACAGGCTTCCAAAAGAACTCAAAGTCGTCTCCTCTAGAAAAGATATTTCTGGCATTGATGGATTTCGTACTGGTTCAAGCATCATGGGAACTTGAGCCTGGATTGGTTCCTATCATGCTAGATCTTCGGACCGCAGCAAAGTAAATCTAAATGAAAATTTAGTATGGGTAATAAATGGAAATATTTTGGATGTTTATCTACTAAATTTTTATATTTTCCCAAAGATAAGCAAGATATGGAGAGCCCCGTCGAGTTATTCCATTCTTTTTGTCTTTAAGATTTTCTTTATAGTAATCTTATATTGTTTACTGCTCTGGTTCTGATTTTTTACTTAATATCTTCTTAACCTCCTACGTTTATTTTTTGAAAACATACATTTTTTTTTTTCTCTCCAATAACATTGATAAAAGGTCTTATTTTTCAAATCCTCTGGGTAAATGCGCAACTACAACAATTTTAATCGTGTCTGGAAGGCGCCGCGCCGCCCGTTCGAGAAGGAACGTCTGGATCGTGAGATGAAGTTGTGCGGCCAGTACGGTCTGCGCTGCAAACGGGAGATCTGGCGTGTGAACATGACGCTGTCAAAGATGCGTCGGACTGCGCGTTTGTTGCTCACCCTGCCGGAGAACCATCCCCGGAGACTCCTTGAGGGTGCCGCCATCATGCGCCGCTGCCATGACTACGGCTTCCTTGAAGAGGATAAGGATAAGCTTGATTACGTGCTATCCCTCACCGTCCCAGATATCCTGGAGCGTCGTTTCCAGACAATCGTCTTCAAGGCCGGTCTCGCGAAGTCCGTGCACCACGCGCGCGTACTCATTAAACAGCGTCATATTTCGGTTGCAAAGCAGATCGTTACGATCCCGTCTTTTATTGTGCGCGTGAGCAGCGAGCGGCACATCGCGTTCGCCGACGCTTCACCGTTCGGGAATGGCCGTCCAGGCCGCGTTCGACGAGTGCGCGCGAAGGCCAGCAAGCGCGCCGCCGCTGGTGGTAACGACGACGACGAATAAAAAGAAAGACCAATTTTATAATTTATCTAAATTGTGTTTTACTGAGAAAAAAAGTGAATATTTTATATAACAAAAATGTTTTCTAGCCTAAATCAGGTAAAATTATTCTTGAAAACTACCCCTACAGTCTCTCACCCCCTTGATCTCGCTCGAATTACTCTTTACTGTACACATGTAGTTTAACTCTTATTAAGCTATCTACGATATTTGACATTATTTAATCCTAATAAAGTAAGCACAATGTCCCGCGTACAAGTCCTGCAGACGCAGCTCCCATCGTACAACCGCATCAAGACGCCTTATGAACAGGAACTGATTGAAACTGTCACGAAGATGACGGAGCGCGGCAAGGGCCTTCTGGCCGCCGATGAGTCAACTGGGTCGTGCACCAAGCGCTTCCAGTCGATTGGACTGAGCAACACGCCGGAGAACCGCCGCAAGTACCGCTCACTGATGATTGAAGCTAATGGATTCGAGACGTACATTAGCGGCGTCATTCTGCACGATGAGACGGTGTACCAGAAGGCGTGCAACGGACAAACTTTCCCTGAGTACCTGCGCTCGAAGGGTGTGGTGGCCGGCATTAAGACGGACATGGGTCTGCACCCATTACTGGAGGGCGCTGAGGAGGAGCAGATGACCGAGGGTCTGGATGGATACACGATCCGTGCCTCCAAATACTACAAACTTGGCTGCCGCTTCTGTAAATGGCGTAATGTATTCAAGATTCAGAACGGCACTGTTTCGGAGTCCCTGGTGCGCCTCAATGCCGAGACGCTCGCGCGGTATGCAGTGCTGTCTCAGATGAGCGGGCTGGTGCCGATCGTGGAGCCGGAAGTGATGATTGACGGTACCCACGACATCAAAACCTGCCAGCGTGTGTCGGAGCACGTGTGGTCCGAGGTGATAGCCGCGATGCACCGCCACGGTGTGATCTGGGAGGGATGCCTGCTTAAGCCGAATATGGTGGTTCACGGCGCAGAGTTCGGGAAGGCGGCAACCCCGGAGGAAGTTGCACACTTCACGGTCACAACACTGGCGCGCACGATTCCAGCGGCCCTACGCGGCATAACTTTCCTCTCCGGCGGCCTGAGCGAGGTGCAGGCAAGCGAGTACCTGAATGCAATGAACCAAAGCAAGTTGCCTCGCCCCTGGAACCTCAGTTTTTCTTATGCGCGCGCGCTTCAGACGTCCGCGCTAAATGCATGGGGTGGCAAGGACTCCGGTGTCGAAGCGGGTCGTCGCGTCTTTTTGCACCGTGCAAAGATGAACTCGCTCGCACAGCTCGGGCAGTACGACCGCTCGAAAGACGATGCCAGCTCAAAGTCCCTCTATATTAAAGGAAATACGTATTGAAGCAATGACTGATCCTTTCATGGCACAGATCATTTAATGTAAAAGTGGTAAGTAAATAAAAGAGATTTATAATGCATCACCACGTTTTTTGTTTCTAGCAGTTTCTTTTTATCAAAGCGGTATACCAAAATAACAATACAAAAATCTATAATGATAGATAGCACCCCCTATTTTCTAGTAGGAAGGAATTTAAGCATTACAGAACAACTATGGGATTACCAAAAGTATTTAAAAGCGAAAAAATGTACTAAGATTTTGATCCTAGCATGGGCGTTTATATAAAAACAAAAATCCACCATGACTATCATTTCATTAAATTACTCCAAATACCATCTCAAGGAGGAGTGAAAAGGAATAAAAATATCACTGTGTGAAAATTTCTTAATTATTCTTCTCCTATACTTACCATGAGTATATTTTTTTATTATTTTATTACATGTTTATATTCTATTTTTTCCTTTATTATTCTTTCATTTTGTTACCAAATAGTAATGCCAGAACATACACTTAAACCGAAACTTGTCCTTACTAAGGATGAATTTGAGAAGCATCTGCAACATTTAATGTTGCCACGCAAAACTCCTGTGTTGACTGATCCTTTTCCTCTCTGTCCCTCAAAAAAACTACCCCCTGCAAAGATCGATGGCATAGTTCATCATTTATATACTCAATCCATAGGGATTCGTTCAGCAAGCATTGCCGATTTAGAAGCTCGTATTTATAAAACTGAAGGCGTTAAACATAAACCTTTAGGTCAAGATGAAATAGAACTTTCTGTTCGTCGTTTGTTTAATGATGCAGTTTTAAGTAAAAGGGAAAATCTTGAACGGTCCAGGGCGCAATATTTATTTCACTATCCCTGTACAGAAAAAAAGATTCCATTAAAAGACTTGGTTCAACATATGTATTTAGATCGCATAGAAGCCAAGAAAAAAACTGTCCAAATGCTGTATGATAAGTACATACATTCCACTGAAACTGGTGCGATTTCTGAGGGCCCTATTGTGCATAATTAGATAAGCTTATAAAAAATAATAAAAATATATTTCAAAAGTGTTCACTTTCGTAATTACTGAAAAAGGTCTTGTGTTTGATGTCCAGAACTGTAAAATGAAACTTATTTGTACATGACAATTAATTGTCTCAGTTTTTCGAGCAAGCAGAACGATGAGAATGTAAATGAGTAATATATTTTTATATTCTGCTTAGTACCACCTGAGTTTCAAACAAATTATGTTTATTTGTATATTAGATTTTGACTGTTACTTACCCTGGATAAGTACGTGCTATAAAGAAGTGTAGAAGGTAAAGACTATATATTATCCTATTTTTTATGCATTATTCCTAAATTAAGCAAATACATAATATTACCTTACTCTTTAATTGGTTATTTATTCTTCTATTCTTTAAAATGAAAATTAAAAGGCATTCGTCTTTGGAAAAAAAACGATACACAATTCAATCCTAGTACACATTCTGAGTGTTTTGTCGTTAGCATACCAATTTTAAGCGAAATGGACCAAGACGCCGAGTCTTACCTCAAGCGGGTGTCCAAAATGCAACACCAACACTTCAGCAAGGGTTTTGCGTCAGTCAAACGAATCTCTTCTGGTGTTGGGCAATTATCATCTGTTGATAAAGAATTTAACACTTTACATTTAGCGTACCATCGGACTACAAACATTTTACCGATTAAAAAGAAACGCTATCGCTTGATTAATGATGACGATAATGGTTCGGATGATAAACCGATTCCATCTTTCGATGTCCCACCCGCTCTTTTAATGAATGAAAACGCGATCCGATCTCACCTGGTTGATCCGGCTGTAACTTTTCTTGCTATGGAAAATCCACGCGATGCAGTCCCGTGCCGCGCTCCCGCTTTCAGGGCCACACAGAAGCCTGCTAGCCTCATCGATAAGTGGTTCCCCGGCATCACCCTCAAGGAAGCCACCGTGGAGGTCAGCTACGCCCCTTCGGCGGAGTTCGTCCAGGAAACAATCACGCGGGTGACTGGGGCTCGCGAGCAGATGATTCTGCTGCGCAGTGGCGTCGAGGACTTGGAGACGCTTTTGCGTGAATTACCCTCTTCGCGGAGAACCCAATCGATACGACACCCACCAGGGAGCACGGAAGAGGGGGGGATTAAGATTGACTTGGAGATAATGAATCGAATAAAACATAAGGAGCTTGCTTCGATCACCGAAGTGCTAGCACAGTTTGCATATGAGCCTTATCAACGACCTGACTTGGTGAAGAAGCAGATAAAGCACCTGATGCATCGCAAGAATAATTTTGCCATCCCTAATTCCTTTGACACTAAACGAATACAAGAGTTTTTGGATCTGAAAGGCCCTGAGACTGGTAATCTACCTACACTTTCACATTTTATTTGGCTGAGTAGTGTTAACACAACAGCGTTATTTACAATTCTCACGCAACGCTTCTTGCGTCGTATACGTATACATACTTCCTCAGCAAAAGATGCATTAGGTGATATAGTTTCCCATGTCTCTGGTACTGAGAGTCCTTCCAAAAATGGTGATGACGATGACGCCAAGAAACTTGATGGTACGAAAAGCAATCTGTCATGCTGCAAGAAGGCTAACATGACGGAGATGGTGAATGTTTCTCCCGAACGTGTTGGAGATCAGGTCACGATTAACACCACCGGTACCAGACTCACACAAAGTCAGGAACAACTGTTAGGCTTTTTTCGCACACTCATGCCAATATGGGGGCCACCGCCGGAAAAACCTACCGCGAGGCTGGCGGACGGGGAGACCTCCGCTCCGCGCCTGATTTTTTCCGGCTATGGGGTGTGGCTGCTCGCCTGTTTGGTAGCACTCGACACCCCACTGGACCCGGATACGGATCGCCTTGTTCACAGTTGGTTTCGTACAAGCTGTGAACAGGTCCGGGTCCTAGGGGAGTGGAAAGGAGTTCACGGGGAGCAGCGTGGCGCGCTTCTTGAGGCACTTCAAAAGAGCGATGCCATATTTGGACCAAATGCGAAATACAAAACATACACACGAATTGAAGATATAGGTTCGGAGGAGCTTCGTGCGCTATACACAGTTGTCGTTATTCTTGCTAAGTTTTTTCGCCAAAATCAAAACCGTTTTATTCCTCTATGATAATATGTGGCTAGTACATAAGATAGAAAAACAGCTGATATCTGTTTTTCTATGTTTCACTGAATTTCGCAGTAAGTAAATTAACATAGAGTCATCTTCGATCACAAGCCCGTACACCTGTTTCATTAGTTTTCCCGAAGTCATTGCATCTTCATGAACAAAAAGTCTGCTATTTTTAAAGGTAAACCAAGAACAAAATCTTGTTGAGTGTGTTAATTGGGTAAGGTTTTCTGAACCTTAAGACAAATGAACTATCGCTAGCATTCTTGGGTGATGTGCGCGGACTAGTTCAATAAATAATCGTAAAAGATCTTCTTAGCGGGCTAAATGGAAGAACAAAAGGTAGGCGCTTCGGGCGGAAGCTTGGGCAATGTAGTAATAGGATGATTGCTTCATCTGCATTTGAAAGTGAAAGACATCTCCACATTATCGTCTTATATTGATCCTGTTATGATAAAATCATTTATTCCAACCACTCTCACATTTTTTAAGAAGAGTTGATAAATTTGTGAAGCTTATCGAGAAGATCACTAAAATCTAAATGCGAGTGTGGCTCTGTGTCATATTCAGAACCGGTATTCCCTACAATGAGTTCAGGTTTACAAACAGTCGTTACAGTACTTTTTGCTGGTATACATTTATCATTATACTAATAATACATAGATATTATTGGTATATGGAATGCAAACAGGTACACACAAGACTTTTTTTTAACGAGGTCCATGGTTAGTTATAACGAATACTTTTGATCAAGGATTTTTGATACGTGTAATCTCGTTATATATTTCTTCTTTACTTTGAACAATATTTTGTATATATATATCAATTGATAAGAACTCCAAATATACAATTGACTTGAACGCCAACAATAAGCGAATCCCTATTTCTCAATGCGGGGAACTGCAGCGCTATCGAGGTGTTCAGTAGTGCCTGTCGCTTCCAGTTACTATGTTCTGGTGAGAGGTCGAGCCTTTGTGGCGTCATTCTCGCTGAAAAAAACAGTCTGTCTAAATTTGCGTAAATGCTATTTAAGCTCTTTGCTTACGCGACAGAGGTCTCACTTTGTTGGATGCCCTTTGTTTTTTTCTTTGAGAGGCCACTCTGACGTATCATCGTCGAACAACAGTCAAAGCAACGAAACACATCAACATCCGAGCGCGTTTATGGACGACAATGAGGACGAAGATAAAATAATAAAGAAATGCAAATGGAACTCACCAGAGTTTCCGGAGCGCTTAGGCTTTGGACTGAATGAGCCCTTTGACGAGAATCAGCTAAGACGACATTATAGGATTTTGGTGAAATTTTTTCATCCAGACAGCTCAACAGCACCACCCCAGTACGCCACTGAAGCATTTCAGAAAATTAAAGAGGCTTACGATGCGTTAAGTTCTACTCTCAAAGAAAGTACAAATGAACCTAACTCTGGGGCCGGTGCCTACCAGAGTGTTGCAAGCATGACCTTCGCAGATGAAGCGCGTCGGCGTGCCCAGATTCGGATTTTGGGTGACACAATTGTACTTTTCCTTCTCATGAATCTTTTTTACATCTATTTGGTCCTCCGGCACAACGTAAAGCGCCTGGGATATCATTATCTGTGGCATTTTGTGGGTATATTTTTTATTATCCAGCTTTTTCCCCGGCTTCTGGCCGCAGCGGTCTTGTTTGCATGCCATACGACCTACCTCATAAAAAATGCGGAGCTCAAAGAGCAGAATGCTACAACGATATTGTTACACCATGGTGAGCATGACATGCAGATGCAATTGCAGGGTATTACAGACAAGGATGCCGCCAATGTGGTGATCCAAGTAGTGGTCAGCGTTCCGAATGATATAACCACATCCCCCACAGCAACGTGTACCAAAGAAGGGACAAAACATCCAAAAAAGGATGTTCAAACCCTTTTGCATAGCACTACCCTCACGTTCGATAAAGGTATACTGGATATTGTACTTCCTCTCCCACCCAAAGGCTTAGAACAAAAAACTACGTACTCTGTAAAAGCGGTCGATGAAATTCGGAAATTTGTTTTGGTAGATAAGACTTTTAGCTTAAAGGCTTAAAGAAGGGCCAAGTCGTGCTCAGTACCCATTTTCCTTTAAAAATGGGGTACAGATAACACAAAGTATTGTAACAGCTTTAATGACTTATTTTGTTAGCGACCGTATTTTCATATTCACCTGGCACCTATCGTTGCTTTTGGTTTCCTTACCTTTGAAGGTTTTTCAGAGGATGTAAACCAATTCAATCATACAAGGCAAACAATATCGGAGGAATAAGCAATATACGCATTGTAATGAAGGGTAATGGTATAAATTCGGAAAGAATCGACTTGATATTCACATATTGTTATATCACTTATAACCCCTGTTGTTTTGTTTTCAATGGAAGCTCACTTTTCCTTTCGGTGAAATTTCTCTGAGGTGTGAATATATCGTTTAAAAGAATATATCATGAAATAGTTGCACCATGTTTCTATCCTATTTCTTTTTTAAAATATAATTAAGGGAACAAAAGCCTACTTAGCCACCATCATGCCGTCACAACAAGCATTAGCCCCCGCACAGCGGCGCATATTTGAAAAAATGGGAAACGAAATTGAGAGCCGTGAGTACACCAAAGCGCTACGCTCAGCGGACGCAATTCTCAGCATGGCACCTGAACATGTTGATACTCTTGCTATGAAGGGTGTATCAATGTTTAATCTGGACCGTAAAGAGGAGGGCTATGATACCATTAAAAAAGCTATTGCGCTTAATCCGAGTTCCACAATGGCATGGCACTCTCTAGGAGTGTGTCAGCGTAGTGATAGAAACTACCACGAAACTCTGAAAGCATTCAAGCGTACACTAACAACTGATCCGAACAATTTCAACGTTATGCGGGATATCTCATCAATTTGCATTCAACTACGGGATTGGGAGCAATTTTTGGAGATTCGTGAGAGAATGCTAACGCTCAAGGCAGGAAATCGTGCCAATTGGATCGCGCTTTCCTGTGGCCACCGTATCCTTGGCAATTACAAGCTCGCTGCCGCTATGATGGATGTAATGGCTTCAATCATGAGTTGCGGCGATCATCCGGTCGAGGTAAGTGAAGTGCAACTTTATCGAGTGGAGCTAGAACTTGAGAGTGGTGAACCGCAAAAAGCGCTGGAGTTGCTGAAGCGGCACGATGCAGAAATAAAGGACACTGTTACTAAGCTATTGTTGCGTGCCAAGTCACATGCTCAGCTTGGTCAGAAGGTGGAAGCGACAAAGCGCTACATGGAACTCATATCCATGGGTTTCCACGAGGCTGACTGCATCGCTTCTATTGCGCAGCTGCGAAAAATACCATTGGATGCTTATCTTCGCCCCAAGCGAGATGTGGACAGGTACATGGAGCTGATGGAACAGGTACTTGAAGTTACTAATCATAAAAGCAACAATTACGCAAGCCGTCACCTTCTAGACTGTGTACCGTTGGATCAGCTCAAGGAGCGTCTCATCACATTCGCCAAGCCCTACATAATACGCATGATTCCCTCTGTTGTCAGCGTTCTCAAGTCTCTGTACCGAGATGAAGAGCGTGTCAATGTAGTTGGCGAGGTCTTTAAACAGTGGGAGCAGGAGCTCCTTTCGGACGATTTTTCTAGCTTTGGTAACGAAAAAAAACCTTGCTACATTCTTTGGGTGAAGATGTTTCTTGCATCTCACCATCGTCGGACGGGGGACTACGCCACCGCACACATTTACATTGATGAAGCGATTGCCCACACACCCACACTTGAATTATTGTACCTTGAGAAGAGCAAAATTTACGCGCGCGAGGGTAAGACGTCGGAAATGGCACAGTCTGCTGACTTTTGCCGGAAACTGGATCTACAAGACAAGTATCTTAACAGTAAGGCTGCCAAATACTTTCTTCGCGACAATCAAATTGAAAAAGCTGAGGAAACGATTCAGCTATTCTACAAAGAATCGGTCGTGTCAGGCGACACCTATCTTACTGCGCTGGAATCACAATGCGCCTGGTATGGACACGAGATGGGCGAGGCCTTTTACCGCCGCGGTGACTATATCTCAGCCCTCCAAAACCTCCTTCTATTTGAATTACACCACTACAACAATCACTGTGAGTTGACCGATTTCCATGCGTATGTATTTCGACGCTGCACGATGCGGCCATGGTTCAACGTCATTGATTGTGATGATAACATGGGTAAGAACAAGTTCCTCCTGAAACAATGCCCAGCCATTGTGCGCTGTTACATGAAAGTGGACGAATTGGGGGAAGAGACGGTGCGCGCCGCGCATATACCGCGTCCGGAGTTGGTGCTAGACGGGGTCGGCACTGAGGATGCCAAACGTCTCAGGCAGCTGCGAAAGGATTATTATATAACCGATATCGATCTCACAGATCCGATGGCAAAAGCTGAGCGTTACCTAACCTACCTCCTCGACAACTGCGCGTATCTCGAGAGCGTTCACACGCTGGCTGTAGAATACTACACCAGGAGGAAGAATTCTTGTGTGGTGGCACGTGAATTGCTATGCCTGAAGCGACTTGGGCACCAAGGATTGGAAACGCTAGTGGAGGAATTTACACGGGGAATATACGCGGAGCAAATGAATGACATGGACATCCGCGTCCGTGATGTTGTTGACACACTTTTGCAGTATATAACCAAATCCGACTAGCGCTTTCAATAGATAAAGGTTATTGGTACAAACGCATGAATATCAGCGAGGATTTAGTTTCTGCTATGGTGAAACATCGTTTTTATTACTTAACTCTTTATCTATTCTTTTGTGAATTTGTGAAGCAAACGGAAAGGGAATAATATCATTCCCTATTCTTTTATCTTTTTAGACAGCGCTTTGTCTTTCTGATGCCACGCTTAGCATTCACGTAATGATTTGCTAATATTGATTAATTTTTAATAATTCATGAACAGCTATGAAAAAGAAGTAAGCACTTCGAAATGGAAACTTTGTAAACCCCAACACTAATGCATAATATGGTGACAAGAAATCCTAAGCAAGAGCCTTTCCTTTTTTGTTTTCAACCAAGCAACTCAAGCCATCTGGTCACTTCACTTACTATTTATCACTCCGAACAGTATACACATTTCACTAACAGCGATGCCTAGACTTGTAGTGGAATACGCTAAATCTGGAAGGTCCGTTTGCTCCGCATCGACTTGTGGATTGAAGATTGTGAAGCATGAGATTCGCATCGGAAGTGTGAGCGATAATCCGTTCGAAGAAGGTGCTGGTGAAATCGTTAAATGGCGGCATCTTTGCTGCTTTTCGGATAGACAATTGAAAAACGCAAAGGATTCTGGTGCTCTAGAAGAAATTGAAGGCGTTACAAACCTCTCTAGCTCGGATAAGGAATTGGTCCTTGAGTTTCAAAAGGGCGAATTGGGAGGCAAATCTGAGCTTATTGGCCGTGTGGGTGACGTTTTGAACTCTCCCCTTGCGGAAGCACTCGGAACAAAAAAAAAACAAGTCGAAAAAGGGCGTCAGAAAAGCCACAAAAAGGATCGACACCCTCAAAGAAAGCACAAAAAAAGGAGCCGGAGGAAAATAAATCGGCTGAAAAACGGGAGGCTTCTGTTGATTCTGAAGCAACAGAATAATAACAATTTTGTGGGTATACTCGTCCATAAACACGCATGGCTGTGTATCTCCCCAATTCTTATTCTCTTTCGATGCTGCATTATCAGAGAGAAAATAAAAAGTGTAATCTTAATTTTTGAAAATAAAGCGACAAATAATTAGAAATCATACTTGTTGGAGCTAGTCTACTAAGAGCACTTGTAATTTTTTTCTTTATGGCGTTTATGATCTTAAAAAAAAAAACTAAATTGTTTTCGCGCTTCCCCCCTCCCCCCTCCATCAAACCACATCTTTCAAACGTGTAGTCCACTGGACGTGCCAGTTTATGCGAGTGCGTGCCCTACGTGCCTCAGTG